TCAGATAGTAAGCCAGATGTGAGGTGGTGAGCAAGATAAACATCATTCTTATATTCACAGAATGTTATACTAATGAGATATAGAGAAGTAAAGATGCTATTCATATTGCAGGCTATGTGAATGGCACTCCTGGGAGTTTGGCAATATAATAATACAATCTATTGAGGTTAGATAGGTGGTCTCACAAATACAATGTCAAAAAAAATGTGTTCAGTATTTTTAATTTTTTTTTTTTTTACTATACCTCTGCTTTTCTTTCTCACTGTCAGTTATTTGATTTTAAGTGTCAACATTTTCCTCCTGGATTGCCACAATAGCTCTTCAATCAGCATTGTCTCATTACTTTTTTTTAGTTCCTATCCTATTCATTCACCAAAATGTTGCCAGAACAATTTTTATAAAATTCTAAGCTTACCAAAAGCTTTCTAAAATCCTAAGCTTACCACTAAGCTCTTTCTATTAGACAGTCCGAAGTCTTTAAAATGGCTTATAAAACTTTCATTAGTGGAGCCTCTGTATACTTTATCTTTTCTCACATATTCTCTGCTGCAGCCATGCTATGCTCTTTGCAAATACCCATGCTAGGTATGCTCTCTTATGGCTCTGTGCCTTAAAACATGCTTACTCTTCTCCCATACATAATCAGAATAGCTCCTTGCCATTTCATATTCACCTCTGGCATTAATCTCTCTTTATAGTTTTCCTTAAGAATCGTTATAGTCCTTCAGCACCCCTCCTCTGTTCTCTCATTTCACCCTCCTGACCGTACATGCATCATATCACTTACAGATTCAGACAATAACTGCAAGTTTGTCCCTCCTGCTAGACTATGAGCTTTTAAAGGACTGGAACCTTGCTCTTCTCATTTACATAGTTTTGCTTCCTACAACAGTAACTTGCATGTAGGAATCCTTTAGTAAATATTTGGAGAATAACTTAATTGGTGGCAACTAGTTTATCCTGCATAAGGATGTCATGTTCTTTTTCAGTGCCATGAGGAAGTTATAAAACCATACCCTGAGACCAAGTCATCTTCTCTGTCTGCATTCCAGGCCCTTTATAGTGTCTAGCAAGAGACCACTTCTGAAAGAAATAAAATGGTAATCTTATATTTCCTTCAAATTTCAAGACTCAGTTCCTCTAGGAGGCTTGTTTGGACTATTACTTCAAATAGTATTTTCTTATTTAAATTCTTTTATTATTATTATTATTATTATTATTGTACTTTAGATTCTGGGGTACATGTGCAGATCATGCAGGATTGTTGCATAGGTACATACATGGCAAGGTGGTTTGCTGCCTTCATCCGCATCATCTATATCTGGTATTTTTCCCCTTGTTATCCTTCCCCACCTTCCCCGCCCCCTGCTGTTCCTCCCCTGGCCCCCAACAACTGACCACAGTGTGTGATGCTCCCTTCCCTGTATCCACATGTTCTAATTGTTCAATATCTACCTCTGAGTGATAACATTTAGTGTTGGTGTTTGGTTTTCTGTTCTTGTGTCAGTTTGCTGAGAATGATGGTTTCCAGATTCATCCATGTCCCTATGAAGGACACTAACTCATCCTTTTTTATGGCTGCATAGTATTCCATGGCATATATGTGCCACATTTGCTTTATCTAGTCTATCATTGATGGACATTTGGGCTGGTTCTAGGCCTTTGCTATTGTAAACAGTGCCGCAATGAACATAGGTGTGCATATGTCTTTATAATAGAACAAGGTATAATTCTTTGGGTATATACCCAGTAATGGAACTGTTGGGTCAAATGGTATTTCTATTTCTAGGTCCTTGAGGAATCACCACACTGTCTTCCACAATGGTTGCACTAATTTACACTCCCACCAACAGCATAAATGTGTTCTATTTTATGACAAACCCACAGCCAATATCATACTGAATGGGCAAAAACTGGAAGCATTCCCTTTGAAATCTGGCACAAGACAAGGATGCCCTCTCTCATCACTCCTATTCAATATAGTATTGAAAGTTCTAGCCAGAGCAATCAGGTAAGAAAAATAAATAAAGGATGTTCAATTAGGAAAAGAGGAAGCCAAACTGTCTCTATTTGCAGATGACATGATTGTAATTTAGAAGACCCCATTGTCTCAGCCCACAATCTCCTCAAACTGATAAGCAAATTCAGCAAAGTCTCAGGATACAAAATCAATATGCAGAAGTCACAAGCATTTCTATACAATAATAACAGACAAATAGAGAGCCAAATCAAAAGTGAACTCCCATTCACAATTGCTACAAAGAGAATAAAATACCTAGGAATACAACTAACAAAGGATGTAAAGGAGCTCTTCAAGAAGAACTACAAACCACTGCTCAATGAAATAAAAGAGGACACAGACAGATGGAAAAACATTCCATGTTCATGGTTGGGAAGAATCAACATCGTGAAAATGGTCATACTGCCCAAAGTAATTTATAGAATCAACACTATAATCAAGCTACCAATGACCTTCTTCACAGAACTGGAAAAAACCACTTTAAATTTCATATGAAACCAAAAGAGAGCCTGCATAGCCAAAACAACACTAAACAAAAAGAACAAAGCTAGAGGCATCATGCTGCCTGACTTCAAACTATACTACAAGGCTATAGTAATCAAAACAGCATGGTACTGGTATCAAAACAGAGACATAGACCAATGGAACAGAACAGAGGCCTCAGAAGCAACATCACACATCTACAATCATCTGATGTTTAACAAATCTGAGAAAAACAAGCAATTGGGAAAGGATTCCCTGTTTAATAAATAGTATTGGGAAAACTGGCTAGCAACGTGCAGAAAGCAGAAACTGGACCCCTTCCTGACACCTTGCACTAAAATTAACTCCAGCTGCATTAAAGATCTAAACATAAGACCTAACACCATAAACGTTATTATTTAAATTCTTAATGTTTTAACACAAAAATAAGTATTGCCTGTACTTGTACTAAGAAACTTTTCTATGTATATGTATCTTTTTTCTCAAAACTATGTATCAAGAGCCTTGTGAATAAGGTCTGTTATTTATGTGGGTTGTCTCTGATACCTACTCCATTACTGCAGGTATGCCAATTGTTTTTAATTGCATAAATTTAAGATGTATAAGATGATGCTTTGATATTCCTATACATAGTGAAGCGATTACTCCAGGTAATAGTCATCACTTCCACAGCTACCTTTTTTTTTGTTTGTTTGTGGTAAGAAATTTACTTTTAATGAATTTTCAATAGATGATACAGTACTATTAATTCTAATCCTTCTCCTGTTTATTACATCTCTAGATGGATTTGTCCTACATAGGTGCTAGGTATTTAATATATTCTTTTGAATAAAATAATAAAAATAATCTCTCTTGATTGATTTCCCAATGTGCTACCAAAACTCCTCTCACAAATTTAACTATTTTGTATCTTCATCTTATTCAATTTCTCAACATTGTCCATCAGAGCTGCCTACACTCTCCTTGAAAGGGGGACTTTGCTTAGCTTTCATACATTACACCCTTCTGATTTATCTTCTGCGTCTTTGGCTATTCCTCAGTTGTCTGTGGGATCTGTTCCTCCTTTACTAAACCATAAAACATTAAGTGCATCAAGGGCATCTTCTTCTCCCCTAGGCTCATTTACCAACTTAACCCTCTCGAGCAGCCCAGTTGTGCTTCTCAACTCCATTGTAATAAAGGTAGATAAGTCACTTCATTCTGTTTAATATGTGCAAGAGTGTTTTAATAAGCATCATTCCCAGAGTGCTACTGAATAAGGGAATAAGGAAAAGAAGAGTAAGCCATCAAATAATTTTAGAAAAAAATTTAATAGACATAGCATAGAAAGGACATTTCATAATTATTTAAACTTCAGGGAAACAAGTTATTTTGTTCTGTAAAATGTAACAGTGCGCAGTGAATCAGATCATGTTAGCAAATATAAAATCATTTGTGTTTATGTAATTTGGCTCTAAACCACTGAGGAGGATATTTGAACATTTGCCACAGCAAAAGTTGTAGCAGCCTCCCTCAGGCAGGAGTGTCTAAGTGTCTGCTAATGTCTAGTGAGTTGCTTAAAAGAGAATAAAACAACACACCCTCAGGCAAGCAAGAAGATTTAAATATAGCCAATTTAAGAAGCAGAGTTCAGAAAATTCAGAAATTAATCCAGATTAAGACATTTTGCTGTAAGGATCTATGTCAAAAAACAAGTTCTACAACTCTGACTTAGAGGTAAGGGCTGGGGAAGGCACTCAAAAGGTATATTCCATAAAAACCCTCATGTGTTCCAAAGTACACCTTCAAAAATAGAGCAAATTCACCAGCATGTGTTATCTCAAACTAGTAGAAGTTTAAGCTTAATTAAAAATAAGTCAATAGGGAATGGAAGGGGGTTGTAATTTATTCTAATATTAATATAAAGAATCTAAACATCTAGATATGTCTGAAATATGTTTTTGTTTTTCATATAATTTATGATAAATCATTTCTTCAAATAATTATTTAAGCCACAAATTTCAACCAGGACTTAACTGACACTTAACAGTTCTTTAGTGTTCATGGAGAAAATTACTGATCGAAGTCCCCAGGTCTCTAAAGCAAACTGAAGAATTAAAACTTTATCTTTATGTATACCTATCCATCTAGGAGAAACTAGATAGTGATCCTTTTATAGTAAAAATTGTGTACTGAGACTGAAACTGTCACATCTGAGCTCAACAAATTCCCAGAGAAATTCATAAATAGATTATATACATGAGAAACATTAACTCAAGTGATTCTCAGTATCAAAAAATACCCACAGCTTTCAGACACAATCCATTTTGCTCACTATTATTCCTGAAATCACATGTTATAAACAGGCAATATGCTTGGTCGTAAGTTTCTTGATATCCTGTTATTGAATTTGTTTATAATATTTTTATTAACATAATGTTTATCTCCTACATGCATAGGTATTTTTGTGATCTTCATGACCAACTCAAAAATTGTGGAAATTGTAATGTGATCATACCTTGCTTCCATTTTCTCTCGCCTCTCGTTCCATCTTGAGGTCAGAAATTAGAAGATTCTTATATTTGTTTTTTCCATTACTGTTGTGATCATCTATTCTGTATTCCGAAGTTAGCTGCGCGGAGAGGGGACTGTCACTGAGGTTCAGTGGCTGTTCATCCTGCTCCAGCCCAGTTTTGCCATCACTGTTGGAGTCTCCCATCTCCCTGCTGTGTGCTCCCCCTGAAGCAATTGAACTGTGCCCCAGAGTCTCATTGCCATTAAAGCTCTCTGCAGCAGAATCATCTGTTGGAAAGGAAAAGTTATATTTTGATTTTAGTTAATATGCTATTCAGATTCTACTTCGATTAGCATTTAGTGAGCTCCCATTATGTGAACGGCATTTTACTTATAATATGTGATTTAACCTCGGCAATAAATTTGTAAAGCAGTTATTGTTGTTTTTAATCGATGTGGCCATGATAAGGTTTTGATGTTTTGTCCTCTTTGAATCTCACATTAAAATGTGATCTCCAATGTCCATAGTGGGGGCTAGTGGCAAGTGTTTGAGTCAAAAGGGTGGATTTTTCATGAATGGCTTGGTGTCACCCTCATGGAAATGAGTGAGTTCTTGCTCTGTTAGTCCATAGGAGAGCTAGCTGTTTAAAAGACTCTGGCACCTCTTCTCTCTCTCTCTTGCACCCTCTATCACCATGAGTCACACTGGCCTCCCTTCATCTTCCACCATGATTGTATGTTTCCTGAAGCCCTCACCAGGAGCAGATGCCAGCACTATGCTTCCTATACAGTCTGCACAGCTGTAAGTCAAATAATCCCCTTTTCTTTATAAATTACCCATACTTAGATATCCCTTTATAGCAATGCAAATGGGCTAACACAGCACATTTAGGCAAAAGAAGTGAAATGAAATATTAAGAAAATAGAATTGAGAGAACAGTTCAATCTTAATTGCAATCTCAAAGAAAAAACAGAGAATTAAATAATTATAAATTATTTTAAAAATAGTTTATTTTTTTCCAGTGAGAATATCTAGATTTGGTAAAAATTCTGTGATAAAAAGCATCATTTATCCTGCTGGTGAGAATGTACATCAATATAAGCTGAATGAGTGTTTAACATGCATCTAAAACATTAAAAATGCTCAGAAACTTTGTTCCAGTCATTACATTTCTGAGAGTTTAATGCCTAAGACGTTTAATCATTGTGTGTATCTCTGTGTAGGTAAACATTTATAACAGTGTTGTTCATAATAGCAAAAATTAGAAATGACCTAAATTACCACAAATAAACTATTTAAATAAATGTTGAAATTGTTAGAATATTATGCAATAAAATATGGGGATGTGGGTCATGGAGTACTAAACAGAAAAATCTAGCTACAAAAGAGTGTGGTTGGTATGATTCCAATTTTGTAAAATGAAAACATAGACAAAGTTTGCAGAAAATAACATTCTATTTTTCTTAATTCATTTTATCTTATACGATAAAAATTTGCTACTGATTTTTAAAAATTACGATGAAAAATGTATTAAATTTTTTCCTTTAGCTAAAAGCTATTAGTGAAACAACATAAATATGAGTGAGTAAGAGAAATATTATTCACTACCTGTGATGTAAAATTTTCTGAATATTATCAAGTATGCTTTTTGTGGGGTGCAATGACATAGTTAATGTTTTTTAACCAATTACATTCATGGGAATTATATTCAAATTCTGAAAGAGAAATACAACTCACATATTTGTTCATTTATTCACTAACATTTGTTAAGTGCTTACTCTGTGCCAATATGGGGTTAAGTATTTGGCCTGTAGAGAAGGTGCCTTCATCAAATTCACAGATAATGGAGACAGAAAAACAAACATGCTATTAAAATGCAGAGCAAGAAGGCTGTAATCTAACACAAGGGATAAAGACATCACAGAAGGCTTCCTAAAGAAGAGAATATGAGTCAAATTCCAAAAGGTGAGTGAGCCTTAAATCAGGTGGAGAAGTTGGAGAAGAGTGTTCTCTACAGAGGGATCAGTGTGTGCAAAGTCACAGAGGTCAGCATATGCAGGGCAAGTGAGAAGTAAGACTAGTCTGGGGTGCAAAAAAAGAGAATGAGAAAAGACAAATCTGGAAAGAAAAAAACAGAATACCAAGAAAGCATTTTGTTTATCGAAGAACTTGGATTTTATATGGGAGCAAATAGCAATTTTAATTTATTGTGGGAAATGACATGGAAAAAGTTATATTTCAAATCAACTATTCTGACTCGAATGAGGAGAATGGTATGAAGGGTCAAAGTGGAAGTTTGGGAGACCAATTAAGATATTTAGAAGTCATCTAAGTTGTTAACCTTAAAAGCTCAAATTTCTGAAGCGGTGGCAGTATAGAAAAAGAGGAGACAGCTATAAAAATTGTGAGAATAGAATTGAAACAACTAGTAGTAATGGAATAGGCAAGTCCAGGATGAAGCCAGGTCTGTAGTAAAAAAAAATTTTTTTAAAGAGCATTAGGTTAGGTTTAATTTTGAATTAAATATTTTGTTTTTGTTTGTTTGTTTTTGAGACCGAGTTTCACTCTCGTTGCCCAGGCTGGAATGCAGTGGTGTGATCTTTGCTCACTGCAACTTCTGCCTCTTGGGTTCAAGTGATTCTCCTCCCTCAGCCTCCCAAGTAGCTGGGATTACAGGTACACACCACCACATCTGGCTAATTTTTGTATTTTTAGTAGAGATGTGGTTTCACCATGTTGGCCAGGCTGGTCTCGAACTCCTGACTTCAGGTGATCTGATTCAACCACTTTAGCTTCCCAAAATTCTTGGATTATAGGCCTGACCCACTACACTCAGCCTGAAGTAGTATTTTTAAACAATTTCCTAAGACTATCTTGTGGAAAATGTTGAAATATGTTTAAATGGCAAAATTCTATTAAATTACTCTTTATGTACCCATCAAAGAAAGAATTGATGTGGAGAGAAAAAATACACAGGAAAATTTAGGAAACTGGTCATAAAAAATAATTTATGACCTGTTACTTTCCAGAGCTTTTAATCTAAGGATTCAAAAACAGTATGTTAACATGAAATGTCTAGGGCTTTTGAAGTACAGAATTAATGGGATGATTTATATATATGTAATTTAGATAAATGTGCATATTCATTTATGCCAATTTGAATTCTTATGCTAAATTATGAATATGATTTTTAATTACTTTAAATTATTATGTCCCATGAAAGTCCAAAGAAAAGCACACTGAACATATTCAACTCCAATTTTAATTCATGAAAAAAAGTGATTTAACATTTGTGTACTAGAATCCTTTAAAAAATATACTAACATTTAATGTATAAAAGCTTTGTTAATACTTGTTAAGTTAAATAACCCTAAATATATATTACATTTTAAAGTAAAATCTACATTAGCATAAGATAAATCCAGTATCTCTCATAGTTAAAAATTAAACATCCCATATCTGTTTCTTCAATCTGAAATCATTACATATATCTAATAAATAGTATATCTAATAAAGAGTATATTATTGGTTCATTTTTTCAGATAAGATAAACATTATCATTTGTCAGGAAAGGCTTTAATAAGTTTCATGTATTTATTTCTGTAAAAAATATAAACAATAAAGTAGAAAATATTTTTAGATGGAGTAGTTCACTCCAGATGTTACCAAGGTAACTAAATTCAACAGCGTTACATATTTCATTCCTGAGTAAATCAGTATGTTTTAAGAAAAACAAATAAATGATTTACTCATTTATATTAAATATACTCACATATTTTATAATTTAAATGGTAAAAAACAATAATGTCTCACAGCACTGTCTTATAAATCCAAATTTGAAACAAAGTTTTTGATGTCTTTATTTTAAAAATACAATATAGAACAGTAAGCAGACATTAAACTGAATATAAATCAACAATTTTATATTGTTGAGTTTCATGTGATCATGTTAACAGTTTTTATTCTCTCTCCCTCTCTTCCTAAAAGATACTTTTTAAGAATTTAAAATCGAAGACCTCAGACTCCTGTAATCAATTCACATCAGGTCATCACTTTAAAGGGGTAATCTGCCTCCTTACCCAACAGTTTGCTGGATCCTGAGTGGCTGCTACACACAGGGTGCAGTATTTAGATCTGTGGATATGGCCTTCAGGTTCACTGGGCCAGGGCGATGGTTCTTCTCTCAAGGTTTCAGCCTGGGTACCACAGCATTTGAACCAAAGACTCTGTATTTGAGTCTCAAAGAAAACAGCACCTGGAGCTTTGGAAAATAAGAGTGCCCAGGGTACCTAGCAACAGAGGAGAATGTGGAATGTAATGACAAGGAGGTGTGGAATCTGGTTACATCAGGAGGGCAGTTGGATGTTGGGATTTAATTTGTTCTGCTGCTACTTTTGATGGGATAGATTTAGTGTTGTGGAGAATTATTGTGCTATCTCTGATAGCAAAGCTGAGGCTCCTTCGTGTCTAAAAGGTCTAATAACACCGTAAATGGCAGACTAGTCTTTTTCTTCTTTCTCTTTTGCTACTCCCCATTCATCGCCATGAATTAGTAGAGACCCTAGAAATACTCTAAGTTATCCCTCCACATTTTGCCAGAGTGGTTTCACCAGCAACACATTCAACAATTAGCTCTCTCTGTATGAAGATAATTGACCTAAAACATTATGCATAATGTATATGTATAAATGTCTGTGTATTTAAGAGTGAGAGAGTGTGTGTGTGTGTGTGTGTGTGTGTGAGAGAGAGAGAGAGAGGGAGAGAGATCTCCCCAAGTACCTGACCTACTTTCTTATTTAGTTACTTTCAGTAGCTCATTACCATGGCCTTTAGGCCAAGCGCCTTAGGCAAAATGAACAGGAACTATATATATATATATATATATATATATATATATATATATATATATACACATATACACATATGCACACATGTGTATCATCCTCATTTTAACATTAGTACTTGGAAGTTTAGTCCTAAGTCAGGTCCGATGCTCACAGGGTCCAAATGCTAGTATTGCTGCCTTCTTCACATTTTTTTTTAAATTATAGTATAATTTTGCTTCATTTTATATTAGCTTAAAACAACCTTCAAGAAAGTTAACTAGGAAAGACCTTTTTGTTTCATTTTTACTATTTATAAATTGAGGACAAATCAGCATTTGGGGTTAGTTGTACTGGTTATCAAATGGTCATAGAGTGCGAAGTGTGCAGTTGTTCATTAGTAAATTATGTTTGATTTTTAAACTATTTAATAGTTGAGATGAAGACTGAATAAAAATACCAAT